GCATATCCTATAGTACCGCTACAATCTAGTAATCGTAGGAAATATTATTAACATTTATTTAAGAGTCACCTGATCATCTATTATTTCACAGGAACATGTGAAATGCACCTAAATCTGGAAGCAATTAAATCAAAAAAATTCAAAAATTTAGTCTTGTAGCTTGTTATATTCTCAAACAATATCCTGTCTAATAATAAGGCAATAAAACAGCACAAAAATATGAAACTCTGATCTTGAAAGAAAGTTAACCTCCTGATGCTTTTAAAACCTAGTAAAGCCTGACAATTATTGATATGTTCAAAACGCAATGTTTAAAACCTTCTCAGGAAGTTAACATGAAAAGAATATTTATCAACAGCTCCACTTAGTTGTCAGAAGTTTTGCATGGAAACATTCAAATAATACCTAAAATGTGAAAAAAAAAACATTACTAGTCATATGAAATTGTTACAAACACCAAATTCCAGTTTATATCTCCACAGAATGCATAATATCTATCCTGCAAAATGGCAAGTTACATAAAAGTATCACTTCTCTTACAGAATAATGAACATGTGTAATCATGTTTTAATGATAGCTCACAGCATATCCTATAGTACTGCTACAATTCCAATGTAGGAAATATTTAAATATTTAAGAACTAAGGGTAAACTAATAATCAAAAGCATTGCCTCTCCATTTTATATATTTTCAAGTATAGAACAATTACATATAAAAGCTTGCTATGAACCTCAATGCCAATGTTGAATGTATGACCTTCATTAACTATAATTTTAGTTCCAGTCCAGAAATAATCCGTGAAAAATAGAGCTGACAAATGGATGGACACACTGAATCCCTTCTGTATCTTTGTCCAATAATGTAGTGATGTGGTATGGTTTAAAGACAGTCATCATAATCACCCTGTGAATATAGTTATATAAATGAAAATATATACTGGCAAAAAATAATATTGATAAAAAAGTGTTAAATGAATTCAATAGGCGGTTTTCCTATCTTCACAAAATATTGCCTGAGGCTGACAAAACATCCAATATTTTACACAACATCTTTCAAAAAGTGAGTCATGGTTACTCCTCACTGATTCTATATTCATACTTATTACAAACAAGTGTGACAAGCTAGAACAATACGATTAACTTACTTATAATACTGCCATACTTGCTGTTTAAAAGAACAGCAATATTTCACTAAGATGTGTAACATGAAAAACTGAAATGCATTCCCTCATTCAAAACATGAACAGTAACTGTGTTTTGTAACATTAACTAGAATCATGAACTGACATACATGGGACAGTTTCTTTTATAAAATAATAATAATGAACCAAAACTGCTCAGGAACAATTTACACCTATAGCCTCATGACGTTGACATTAATAACATAACTAGATAAAGTCTTCAAAGTTTGATCAAATAAAAGCCATCTGGTTAGCATATCATTTAATACTGCCAGTGATGTAGCCATGTCAGTTAAATACCAGTTTTTATCTTCAGATTGAGAGATTTATGAACAGGACAAGTCTCGAAGACACTGGTACATTAATCCCATAACAACAGAGAGAAAAACATTTTATTGTGATCACCTTTCATTGAAACAGTTCAATCATGTAAGATTTAAATCACATTCAGTGTAACTGAATTTTCCCATAACTGTTGCTCAACATATGTTCAGGATTTCACAAAACATTTTGTCCAAATCAAACAGTAGAAGAAATTGTAAAGACAAGGAAAAAATGAGCAGCTTATGTATATCTCTTTGCTCTTGGAGTCAACACTTGAGTCAATACTCATATTAACGAATGAGGTTACCATGATTAATACATTTCCATACTAAAGAAAAGTCACATCTGCAACTTAATATTATTGAAGCAATATATTTAGGAATTCAGATATGCCAGGAGCAAGAAATTTGTTCCAAAAAGAAACTTGCATTAAACATGAAGTGAAACATCACATCTTTTTCATGTTTTGTCAGTAACAAAACATGATGGATGAATGGACAGGTAACTTAGCCAAGACACTTGAATGCGTACAAGTCCTCACAATCATACATCCATCCACTCGAAATCAGCCAAGTCGTTCACCAGTCTTAACACTTTAGCTGCAATCTGACGTTTCTTCTTTTCCCTTTGTTTCCTTTCGAACCTTTGTCTGGATTTATCAGGATGAAACATCTGCAACATGGAAAGAATACAGGCCTCAATTTTAGAGATGATAACCGACTTGCACTAGGTGCAACCTGCAACAAAAACTAGTTGCATAAACCAAATTCAAGTTGCACTGCTTTTACTGTAGTATGTAATATGCTAGTGAATTACTGGGATGTTTTCAGTCTAACATAATGCAACCAATTCCTGTTGTTCTTTTTCCATTCTTTTAAATTTGTAAGTCTCAACTTTTAGCATTGCTTGTCATTGATTCACCTCTATGATGACAGTGTGCCAAAACGTCAGAGTATTCAGTGCAATGAAACATATTTCAGTAAAGTAGTAATGAAGCGATAGCAACACACCCACACAACTGTCATAAGATGAAAGTTATCACTGCTAATCAATGTTTAGAAGAAAAGGACTGACATAATTATACTTGTAATGTTTATAGATTTCTCCTAGATGGATTTCTCAAACATTGAGTTGCAACTGTAGCAAGTTAGACTAATAACTAGGTTGCACTTTGCAATATTAGGCTAAACCAGTGCAAATAACAAAGCACTAAATCGATCCCTGGAATACATTTCTATAGCTGGTTAAATATATCAATCAGAAGGGCATATTAGTCATGTTACTGAAAAATAAAGACATCCTCAGGTTTTTATGGCTTATTACTCACCTGAACAACCAGAAACATATTTTTGGCACCTCCTCATAACTCATATGCTGTCAGGGATTGGGATAAAGAAGTTTGACAATTGGCCATATTCAGGATTTTTTGCCATTTTCTGAATTTAGAATGGGCCACTGCCCTGCCCAATAACAAACTTCAAAATTTTAATGGCCATTTTTTATTCTGATGTGCAGAATGGTCCATTGCCCCTGCCTTTCTCAATCCCTGTATTATTTATATTTTGTATTCAGTTCTTGGATAGATTTTAGTGCTCTCACAGGTTATTATGTGGTGGTGTGTGGTCCTGTGCATAGTGGTCAGATCACAAATCAGGTGAAGTTAAGCAACGTCAACTCGGAGAGTTCTTGGACGGATGACCATGTTCGGCAACTTAACTCCTGAGAGTTTCTAGGACTACAGTCCTGCCCCACAACGAAGCACATAGCTTGGGTTATCTGGCTTAATAATAATAGGATTGTAGCGCTTTGAGCATGCCCTCTGTGATGTGGAATTCAGTGCATTACAAATACCCATACTATTATTCTTATTATTAGTTTACATGGATTTTAGAAAATCAGAAAATCTCAATATTTAAAGTACACATCTACACTTCGGCAAGAGTGACTGATGTCTATCTAGAGGCTGTCACTTGAAAAAATCGATAAAACAGAAATACCTTTGAATAAATTCAAGAGTTGCTGATGTTCCTGAGGGTACTCCAGGTTGAAAACATAAAACGATGCGAAGTAGGACGAGAGGGCATCAATAAAGCTGTCAATGGTATTGGTCACCACAGTTCCATCAACAATGAGGACGTATGACTTGCCAGCCATAATCGAGTCACCTGAAGGATGGTTAAAAAAAACCATCAGCCAATAACAAACAAAATGACATTAAACAGCATATCCATAAATATGTTACCAATCATTAACTTTTTAGTTATGTAGTCAGTTCTTAGTAATCCAACACTTGGAAAGAAATAAGCTAGATTCTCAAAAAGTTTAAAATGAAAAGGGTAATAACTATTACTGGTAAGCCTGAATGTATCATATTCAGATCAATGGGAGTTTTGGTTTTGTCCTTGAATGTCAGATTGATAAGAGCTGGCAGAAGACTGGGACTAATCCTCACCCTGAAGGACTCTCATAATACTTGCCTAGTACTACCAGCATTGATCTTCTTTCTTGACAGACTGTTCAATTTCGCCAACAGAGGCAGCTTCCTAAAAAGTGAAGTGACAGTTGCCATGAAAATATCCACATGTGTCATAGCAAATTATCTGTTAAAGGTAGGAAGGTAAGGCAGATTGATTCATTTTGATGGATTTACAATAATTCTGAAAGTTGCAAGTATGATAAATATACACTGAACATCAAAAGAAACGCAACACTGTTTTTATGGTCAAGTTTTTAAAATAGACGACATAAACATGAACGCTTACTTTCATGAAATTTACATTTTTGAAAGTTGCGTTTCTTTGGTGTTCAGTATATTACCATGATTATATATACATACATCAACAACATGGAACATATCTTCCTCTTTTTCTCCAAAATGGTCCATGATGCACAACACAACAGCCATCAACCATGACTTCAGATTGTCCATATTGCTTTGAATCATGGCCTCCTCGAAATACATGCTACACTTTGAATTTTTAGACTTGACACTACTGTCTGAAAGAAACTGTTTAACCGACTTGCTTTTTGTTTTGTAGGCATTACAAATGGCATCTCTCACATCAACATCTAACAGCTCCCTGGCATGACTCTGAAGACTTCTTGCATTAAAGAGATAAGGCCACTGGACCTTTAGGGTTTCTTATTGAAGTGCCCCTGTTGATGTCTGTTCTCTGCAAGGGATATGTAGAAGCCATCAACTGGTCAATCTTTGATGTCTCCTTTTCATTTGAAGAAAACATTTCTTTCAAGATATCTCTTGCCTCTTCCATTGTTCTCAATTCCTGTTCACTTTCAATGGGTGGACTCCACTTAACACAACCATATGAGTCTTTCTGTTCACACTTTGTCTGTTTACTCTTTGTACTGTTGTTGTCATCACTGTCACTAACATCCGTTCCATAAATGTGATCAATGCGACGCTTTTTTAGAAGACAAAACAAGTCTGGTTGCACTCTTAGGGCGATTACAGTTTTCATTCCTCCCTAACATCTTGTCAAGCAGAGTCTGATATCCAGAACCAAAAAACTGTACCATCAATCCGATCTTCCAAACTGTCAGGAAATTTAGCAACCATCCGCTGTGCAATAATCCCAAGTTGGTGTTTAGAGGCACGTTCTGTTGTCTTCCTAACTGCATCTACAGTTTTATTTACAAGTTCCTTCTTGGCAGTTGGTGACAAACGTTTGCCTTCCTGAAGGGCCCTACAAACATCACGACCCATGTTATCCCATGGAATTTCCAGTTTCAGAGGCCAATTTGGATCCCTGTTGATATTTTGTACAGTAATTGGTGGAGGAGTTTTGGGCGAAAACGACACTGGTGACAGAGAAGGACTTGATAATGATGATAAAGAAACAGAACTGCTTCCAGATGGGGCTGAAATTAATAAAGTATTATTTCTTAAAGTATTATACTTATCTCTGCAAAACTTAAAAGACAAACAAACTCCATAACATTGCTTCATGAATTTGATCTCAATGATCTGTGCATTTGACATATGACAGGCAAACCGTTTGGGTTTTATCAGTTTCATAATAGATAAAATTGGAAAGCCAGGGGTGGCGCAAACTATTCAGTTGTATATTTTCAGTCACATTCACAGCTGATAAAATAAAATGGTACAAGCACGAAATCTGTTTTGGCATAATATAAGATATAGATAAACATCATAAAGATGGTAACTGGAATTAAATCTATTTTGAGAGTGAAAATCATACACACACACAGTGTAAATTGGTTGTCATTTAAGAAAAATGTTTTAACCTGTCATTTAAGTTTTAACAGTTTCACTGTGACATCTGGATAAAATGGATGTTTTAAAAGTACAACAGAGTATCTTATGATGAACAAACAGCTAAACATGTATAAGACCTCTCTAAATATTTATTTTGATAATTTATTTTGGTTTGTTTTTCTCACAAGCACCTGTGATTTGCATCTAAAATTAAATTGGTACATAAATAAAGTGGTAAATTATATTTTCAGCGAAATAGATATAGGGTGAAATTTAATAAATGTGTCATTAACAGGACAAAACCGGATACCATAATAGATAAAAAAATTGATGTATTGATACTTTCCTGATACAATAAGATTCATGATACTGATTTCTTGGCATTGATGTGCCAACTATCAGAATATTAGTTTAAGTTTAAATCCTACAAGTGAGTGAGCGAGTTCAGTTTTATGCCACTTTAAGCAATATTCCAGTAAGATCACAGCACGGGGCACAAGCTAAAAAAGACTAGCACACATCATCCAAAAGGTCTCCAGAAAGCTACTGCAATACATATCAACATACGATGCGGTACCTCAGTGTTTGCCATGGACATGAACTTTAGCCAAGACATCAACTGTGATGTGTTTAATAACAACAAAAAGGGTAAAGCAGGTCAGGTATGTAATCAGTACTGAGCAGTTCATTGGCAAACAATAAACTAAGTAGGTTTAAACAACACCAAATTATAGTTTTTGTACACGTCTAGATGATCTGAACTTAGGGCCAAGTAGCATTTCGTCAACAATGACACAAGCCTTTAATTAAATACACTGCGTATTTGAGACAGATTAATGGCGTCAAATACGCAGGTTTTCTGCGTCAGGGCAAACACTGAGTACCAGTATCCAGTGAACCAATAACAGTAACAGAACTTACCCAACTTCGCCTTGTAGCCTCTCAGTAATTTCCTGACCAGAACAGGTTTGATAGTGCCCTTAAAATCCTCTTCTTCAACCCACTGAAGGTCATCAACAGAAGTCACTCCAAGTTTCATTAACTCACTCAGCACATCTGATAGAATATTCTCCTCAATATTTCCAAAGAGAAACAGTAAGTCTTTTCTCAATTGTCTGCAATGAGTGTCATTGTCTTTCTCTTCCATGATTTTCAGACACCAACTGTTTTAGAGACAAGTAAAATATACCAGACTCCTGGTATACAGCTACTGGGTAGGGATCTGCAAGGTGATATACAGATATGCATATCATATTGCCATCAGCCTCCTTTTCAAATGCATAAAGATCCATATCAGGAACATGCAAACATGTTGTCAGGGACATTAACAAATAAACATCACTTCCCTTGATAAATATGCTCTGTACCCTTCCAATCGTAAGTTCAACTGACCTAGGCTTGTTAACAATTAAGACACTACCAATTTTGTACTCAATTCCTTTATGACATATTTTCATATAGTACTGTGTGTATTTGCTGTTTAAAGCACAATGAAGTAATGCCTCTTTTACTCAGATGAATACATGTTTGGTTAAATGGCAACAAATGCTCTACTTGCAACTCACAAGCAAAAATATCCCCTGAATTATACAAGGCTTGTAACAACTGATGTTTTCTAGCAAGAGTTTTGGGTAAAGTTTTGTAATTTTGTAATTTTCTTACACATTTTGAAATATGAATGTTTACTTTCAAATCTTAGCGTCCAAAGCCTAATTAGAGGGCCAAATTTGATGATTAACCCAGGGTAGTGAGACATGAAGTGGTGTTTTGGCCTTAGAGATTTGGTTGGAAAAGACGAAATCTCTCATGTAGGTAGTCTTCTATAAGACTGCTTAAAGTTGCAATGTTTGCAAAATCTAAGGTCTGACTGACAACAATTTCAAATAATCTTTTCATCAACAAGTACAGATTCCAAACACTATCATCAGTATTAGAAAATGTATTTTCCAACAAGTAATGAAAAGAGTCTGACAAATATCCAGTTCTGAACTGCATGTCCTTGAAGCCTCTCTGAATTTAGAGAAACAATACATGGTTTGTCTGATGCATCATTGCCAACATACTCAAATCTTGTGATGCGTCTGTTAAGCTGATCAATTGTGAACCACTGCTTTTCTTCAATCAAGTAATCAATGATTAACATTAAATCATACGGCACAATGCCCTCAAAAAGATCATGACCTATACAAGGAGGCAATCCGTCAACAACATGAAAATGCTGAAGCTGATTTAAAACAGAATCACATTTTATGCCATTGTGATTTTGCACATTTTTCAGAAGTGACAACATCAATGCTTTCTCTATAGTTTTCAATAGATCTGTTTACACCTTTTGTTCCATAACCATTCTCAAGACAACCTTTTCTAGTAGCTAGACAGTATCGACAGAAGTACTGACCTGTGAAACTTTCAATAAATCCACCTATCATATGTGATCCAAGGTTATCTCCTAATACACAACACAAGGAACCTTTGACAAACATACCATTGCCAACATCAATCCTAAGTGTTTTCTAACTGTAAAAAGATCTTTCAGAAGAGGACTAAATATACTTTCAGTTCCAAAGGTTTTCAAGTCCTTTTCTCTACATAATATCACTAATTGCATGTGATCAATAACTGATCGCTTATGTGCATGAAAATTGGCCAAAGTGAAATACACTCCAATCAACTTGTGCTTTCTCTTTGCCGAGCCAAGGGGATTTACCACCTCAAAGGCATCTTGATAGAGAATTATTTGAAATGCACTTTTAAAACTCTGGAAAAATTTACTGTTCCTAAAAACTGAGCCTTGATGAATATCATTCAAATCATGTTTGTCAGCAGTAATTTCTTTGTTTACTTGATCTGAATCATGAATATGTTTCTTATGAAATGTATACAAAGAATGCAAAGTTTTGAGAATAGAAACATACTGAAAGGTTAATTCTAATCCCCCAACTTCATCTTTACCCAAAACTTTCTCCTCCTCAGGTTCAATGTAAGGGAAATATTTTTGAATAAAAGCTTGACCTAACTTTACTGGACCTCAGCGGCCCTTTGTTACAGTTAGAAAACAGATCATACTTTGAAAGTCATCCTGAACATGTTCAATAATATTTTCTTGCACTCCATTAAATTTCAATCTTTCTGTTACATGTCTCAAAAATAACAGATTCACTTATTTCATGCAATGACTGTATATCACTTTATGATGCTCTGAATAAGTGAAGCAGGCATCAAGTCCTTGGCTTCTAACTTTAAAGTAGAATTGAGCCACATTCTTCAAATATGTATCCTCAATGTTACTTTCGTCATAGTCACAGTCAGAATCTGAACTTAAATCACCATTGTGTTGGCTTGATGTATCAATACTAGATGAATTTTGGTCTACACTTTCTTCACAAACTTGCGTGGCTTCGTTACCTATTTCCTGGTTGGGAATCGAATATATATAGTCACAAGACAGAAGATTTGCAGTTTGAAGCTGATGCTTTCTTGAGAGATGTGATGAGAAGGACGATATTTTGCTGAATTGTGAGATGCAAGATCTAAACGGACAGTCAATAGTCTCTCTATTTCGTATGTGTTGCCGTAAGTGTTTGAGCAGCTCATTTACTGTTTTAAAGGTATGGTCACAGTTGTGTCTACAAATCAGCACTATGCCCAATATTTCACTTGAACCGCTACGGACATGCCTTTGTACTTTGCGCGGAGTAGCCAAACTTCTTGTGATCACGTAAAACGTGTGCACGAAATGCAGAATAAGTGCGAAATGTCCTTACACAATTTTCATTACAGCATGGAAATTGCAAATTTGGTACATTTTGATGAATTTGATAATGCCTCACATAATGCCTCAAAGAAACGGTTCCAAAAAGACAATGCTGACACGAATACATGTTCGATGTACAAAGCCTAGTTCCCTCACTATCCACATCGTTAGATATCTCAGCAATAATAAGTAAGTGCAATGAAGATAATGAAAATGATCCTTGAATATAACATTATCTACATGATGCGTTGTCTTTGTTTATACCTTCGAAGGTAGAGAGGATGCGACTGATCCACGTTTCCTCACTTCCGTCTCCTGCTAGTGCTAAAAATGGCGCCCTTCAAAGTTTAGACCCACAATTCTTTTCGGTTTACGGTCAGTTCCGTAATTATGCCTTCCGTGTCGACAAAACGGTAAACTACCGTCACGATCACAATTTTTACGGTATTATAATGTTATTTCTTGAAACGGCAATAAACCGGTTGGGATTTACGGAAGAATTCAGTAAAATTTACGGAAAAGGTTTACAGTGTAGCCTGGAATATTTGTTTCAACATTCGGCATGGCCATGGACGACTTATTCATTCACTGGGATGATTCCGACTTGGACCTCGATATTTACTTGGAGAATTTACAGACTACGACAGGACAGAGAATATAAACCAAAAATACAAAAATCAAACTAACCCAGTCAGGTAAAGGCAGTTTTAACATTACAGTTGCCAATATCCCCGATGCTCGCTAAACGGATCATCACATGGTTAATCTCAAGATTTACTTGCAAGTATTCGTTGGCACAAAACGAGGGTGTGGTCAAGCAGTCGATGAAAGTAAAAATTCCTATTATATGGTCTCTGCTGGTACGGACTTGATATTATATCAATCACATTGTGCGTTACAGAACTACACTGAATAAGCGCAAAAAACCCCCACAACAGGTGTAACCAGTGAGCCAGATGCATTGTGAACCATTTTACGACCTCATCAAACTGGGGCAGTCTGTGACGTCTTAGTTAAGGTCATGCTGCCTACACCCCGCCATAAAATATAGAAGTACGATGTTATTAAAAGTTTAACATTTAAATTCATTGTAAATACCATTTTCTTACGAAACAATGAATTGGATTTCAGTGTAACCATAGTTGTTTGTGATGTCTATTTTCACTTTCACACCAGAAAATTCGGATCGGCTGAAAGTAGGTCATTGTCTGTCAAGGTTTTAGATAAAAACATTAGAGCTATTATAATTAGTTGTTAAAATGTTCGCTCGTCACGCCGAAGTCCCGGATTCGATTCCCCACACGTACACGGTGTGAATCTTTTCTGGTGTCCCCTACGTGAAATTGCTGAATATTGCTAAAAGTGGCGTAAAACCATACTCACTCACCCACTACTTACCTGGCGATAAAATGTCTGAACTGAATTCGAACCCATTACCCAACATCTGAGCTGCGGCGTTCTTTCTAATCCCCAAGTGCCGAGCTGCGTCTTGTTTCTGACCGGTCAACACACGGCCACTCTTGGTCATTGCCAAACAAGCACTGTCTTATCTATATGAACGGCACCTTGACCAGTGCTACTTAAATGCGAGCAAGTGTCCGGTTCGCCAATCCCCCCATCACTGCGTGGCCCAGAATGTTGGCTGTTCTCACAGGGTTGTGTTTCGCCGTCACCGTCGCCGAGGCTCACATGCTTCGCGGAACAATTGACTCCACCAAGGTTGGTATTGTTGGCTGAAGTTTAACAAATGTTTGTTATTATCACTTGATCCAATGTATGTTTTGAAATGCGCAATACGAGATAATGCCCAAAACTGTTAAATATGAAATGGTTTATTTCTACCTGTAACCTTGTATTTAATATAACACGATCTGAACAACGATGAAGATACGTGATTAGATTGCGGGTTCTATGTGTTGTCCTGTGAAAACTGTGGGCTAGCCTAGTGGCTAATTATAAAGCGTTCATTCGTCATGCCGAAGACCCAGGTTCGATTCCCCACATGGGTACAATGTGTGAAGCCCATTTCTGGTGTCCCCGCCGTGATACTGCTGGAATATTGCTAAAAAGCGGGGGTAAAACCAAATTCACTCACTATAAACACTGCTATCGCCATTACAGGTGATACACATTTAAGCGCACCCTTGATTTATGTACGCAAAACCCCATTCTTGGACATACTGAAAGCGTAGTTGATACAGAAATGCTCAAATATCAAAACAGTTCTTGCAATTTTTAATTATGGAAAAAATAAATGGTATTATTTTCTTTTGCTTCTCGGTTTATAATGAATAGTTTTCATAACAGAATGGTGAAAAAAGACAGCCGAGGGCGTCGGATTTATTTACCATTAAGAAATTGTCGAAATGCACCTCTTTAAGGAGTTCACAAATACGTATTTGAGTGACTTTAGAGAACGACTAGATAGGCTGAAGAGAGACGGGAGGATACCCGAATGAGTGACTGTGGTTATTGTTGAACTTTATACGCCCTTGGTTTCTAAGTACAATATCACGTTGATATATTTCGGTTTTGTTTTTGTTTTAATTTTTTTTAATAATTTCCGTTTATCAAGACGATGTTTGTTTTTGCCAGGAGCTGTTTTTAGGCGTTTTGACAAATCATTGGAAAAAGGGCCGCGCCATTGTAGTCAAATCACAATTTTCTTCCTGGAAACAGAATCAAGGCCTACATGACAACTCTGATCCAGCTTAATAACCTAGCTAGCTGATCTATGTAATGCAGTAACCCGGATGTCGTGTTTCAGGGTTGGACTGTCCTCGGCAGTTACTGCTTACCCCACAAGGAAGGAAGTGTATACTTCAACATCCGATACCCGAAGGTAACAAGTATGGTGTAAATGGTATCTTTCAATGTTAATTTCCGATTTTCCCTCACAAACAATAATGGAACATCAAAATTATCATCCGGGTGAATATACCGTAGAGGATCCTCTTCATGGCCTTTAGGTCTCGGAGCTGTTTGGACGGCAGTAGACACACACTTACACATTAAAGCTATCTTATGTAAATAGGTATTCACAAAATAAGGACAATCCAAACGGAGCCATGAGCAATGCTCAATCCGCTAGAGCTGAGTCAATCTAGACTTGCGGAAATATTGTAGACTTGAGTTGGAGTCAGTTCCAGTATAATCTCAAGGTTGTGGACGACAGATGACGGTCTGAGGTCTGGGATAATTGCCCTAGCTATATTTGTGATAAACTTGAAATGTTACAACTTGAAGCAGCAAGAATTGTAACCGGATTGCCTAAATTCGCTTCAAGATATAGTTTATACAGTGAAACTGGTTGGTTGCCATTGAAAGTTAGACGAACACAAAGGAAACACTGTACATTCTACAAAATTGTTAACATGCAAGCTCCTGATTACCTGATAGATTTACTTCCACCTTTTACTGAAACCATTTCCGGATACAACTTGCGTAACAAATCAGATTTGGCTGTTCCTAAATTTCGCACCTCAATTCTCCAAAAGTCATTTATTTATGATTCTGCAAGTTTATGGAATGCTCTCTCCTCTACAACAAAATGTACAAATTCATTATCATCGTTTAAATCAAAGTTATCTGGAAATAATGACAAGGTTCCAAAATATTTTTCTATTTGAGTGAAAGAAAGACAAATATACTACACACAAAGTTAAGACGTTCGTGTAGTTCATTACAAGCAGATCTGTTTCGTGTTAATCTATCAGAGAGTAGAGCTTGCAATTGTGGTGCTCCGGTGGAAGATGCTAACCATTTCTTAAAATGTCCAAAATTTGTCAGTTGCCGTTTTGATCTGAAGAAAGACTTTGAACTGTCAAAAGTTCAGTTAGACATTGATACCATTCTTTACGGCAACCCTGCTCTGCCAAATACTATCAATGAAAATATCTTTAGACATGTGCATAAATACATTGTACGAAGTAAGCGCTTCAATTAATCAATAATATGTCTCAATATTATTATGTCCATCCATTACGTCCAATCATTATTGTTCATTATTGTTCATGTTTCAGATGGGAGCGGGCGGTAATAAGTTACATAACTGGTGACCAATCCATTTCAACACTGAATAAAATATGTTCAAACAAACAAACAACAGATAACGGTGGTGAGGTGTGACAGAGATGAACGGATTGACTTTCTTGACTATAATGATAACGCCCACCAAAACGTTCGAAAGACGTGTTATTGGTCTCAAGCAAAGGTAGTATCACTCCCGAAAAAGACAGTTATAAGAAATGGCCACATTAACTTAATTCTCGCCAATCAAACAGCCTCTTCATCACATACCTCAAATACACTTTATCATCTCTATTCCTGTCTTGCAGACTTACGCGCCTGAAACGCTGGTGTTGTTTTATGACGACCAGGCAACTCTCATCAAGAGCGCTCCGGTAAGTGGACGTTTTCAACTATAAGGAACCGATTTTAACGATTCATACGGAAATACAGCCTCGTTCCCCGATTATATAAGGCCTCTTACCTAATTCTCTCAAATGATTTTACAAGTGTGAAAAACATTGCAAACGAGTTAGGAACAGTCGTTTTTCGATCGATGAGCAGATAGAACAAGGAGTTTTAGGCTATACAATAAACCAATGTTAAAACTACTGATATTATTTCGTTATAGGCCCGTGAAGATCCGGGTTAGAATTGGTTTCAGTAACCCATACCTATCGTAAAAGGCGACTAACGGGATCGGGTGGGCAGGCACGCTGATTTGGTTGACACATGTCATCGTATCCCAATAGCGTAGATCGATGCTTATACTGTTGATCACTGGAATGTTTGGTCCAGACTCGAATATTTCCAGACGGCCGCAATATAGCTCAACAGCATAATAATAATAATAATAATAATAGTCCTTTTTATATTGCGCATTTATCCATGCACATTGCATGCTCAAAGCGCTGACATATTGCCCCTGGTCAACGAAAACAGAACACTCCCTTTGAGAATACAACCGGTCGCCTGTCAGGGCGCTCAAGGTTCAAATTCGGACTACCATCGTACCATACCAGGTACCCAATTTTACTGCTGGGTGAACAGAGGCAAGTTTGAACAAACTCACTTTCCTAAGGTGAGACCATATGTATCACATATCCTTTTGTTGTGGGCAGGACTGAAGTCCTAGATACTCTCAGGAGTCAAGCTGCATGAGCATCGATCTACGCAATTGGCAGATCAGTTCTAACCCGGATTTTCACGGGTCGACAAGGAAACCAAGGAAGTGGTCTGAGGTGGAAAATAAAGTAACTGTTACATGTTGTTGATTTCAGAACTGTAGCTCCAGATACAATATACTGAAAGCAGAGAAACGACGAGTTTGTGAAGCTGACACCTGACTTCCTGTTTACTCGCTGTCAGACCGTTATGAAAAAAATGGCGAGGCCTGGTACAGTTGCTATGGTCACCGATCTTTAGTAACCAGTCAAGACCGAATGTGGTATATTGGCGTCTCTCATTGCCAAGACAAAGTAAGACTTTGAAATCATAGCGCTCTTTAGTGGAGTGAATTGTGTTTGACTTGAGCTGTATTCAAATATATCAATATATGTTGGCTTGTTCGTCATCAGGTCGTAAATATTTACATTTTTGTTGAACCCTCTGAGTAAGCGGCACTGTTGCTAATATACATTCTAACATAAAATTGTGGCGATTCGTTCAAAACTACCATCAGCGAATCCTGGCGTGACCAAGGGGCACAACCGTGAAAGAATTTCAAGGTCTTCGACCACTGGGTTGTGAAACTTACATCAAACCAGTGTGATGAAGTCACGCTGTTGTTGTCGCGGTTGATTCTTATCCATGAACATGTATTGAGTGAAAATGACCAACGTCAGGTCATTATGAAAAACACAGAAATTATACACCTCCAGATGTGGGTTTAAAAATGGAAACATCACTGGACTGTTTTGGTTCCGGGTGTTAATGATAATGATCAACTCGCCACTTTGCGATTCATCTGTCTTCAACATCCAGAAGTCGACGAGCAGGAGGAAATCGCTGATTCCACTCGGGAAACAACAGATTAGTAACGTTTTCCCATTAGCTAATCGTTTCCTATAAAGCAGGCTGTGACTGATTGAAGTCTGTAAGGTTTTCAGTAAAATACCCTTGTTTACACTGACACCCGAAATGTTATTTCCATCGACAGCCGTCTGGCATCAAGCTTGACTACCTGATCAAGTTTCTCAACTACGGCCAACCCGGAAAATGCAATCAGACATCCATTCCCTTTGGTGATGTAAGTATTGCAGGAAACAGAGGGAAAAACTGCATATCTGTTTCCTTGAATCTTTATTTTAATATTATGACAGTCGTATTCCTAGAAACGCATAATATATTTTCTCAAAACATGGAGACCATTACTAAAACATAAAATTTAGTAAAGTACCGACTATGAAATGATCTCGAGGAAGATAGGGCGTTATCCTGCCGAGATGTCAAATGCGACGCTAAACCTACACTCGCTCACTCACTCACTCACTCACTCACTCACCCTCCACTCACTCACTCACTCGGCTGTACCCTAGAGGTATGTTGTGATTTGACACCTTTCACCTGTCGAACTCAACGTCATGGCAGAATGGAGGTTTTCCTCTGTTGCCAAAGGTAATAAATGTTAAAAATCCTATAGATCATCAGACTAAAATACAGCTATAGGCCCATGGATAATCAGACTAAATCACAGCTATAGGCCCATGGATAATCAGGACTAAATACAGCCATAGCCCATGGATAATCAGGATTCAATACACCGTTATAGGGCCCATGGATAATCAGATTCAACACAGCTATAGGCCCATGGATAGTCGTGGACTAAAATACACCGCGCCGAGAGCTCCATGAATAATCAGATTCAAATACAGCCATAGGCCCAATGGATAATCGAACTAAACACACCGCTGGTAGCCTCCATGGATAATCAGGACTAACCACAGCTATAGGCCCATGGATAGTCGGACCAAATACATAACTGCAGGCCCATGGATAATCAGGACTAAATGCAGCTAGAGGCCCATGGATAATCGAACCAAATACACCAAGTTATAGGCCCCATGGATAATCGAACTAAATACACCCGCTATAGGCCCTCCATGGATAATCAGATTCAAATACACCGTTATAGGCCCATAGATCATCAGACTAAATACAGCTATAGGGCCCATGGATCATCAGGACTAAATACAGCTATAGGCCCATGAATAATCAGACTAAATACCACAGCTATAGGTCCATGGATAATCGAACCAAATACAACTGGGTAAGTTATAGGCCCATGGATAATCAGACTAAATACAGCCATAGGCCCGTAGAGAATCAGACTAAATCAATAACCGTTATAGACCCATGGATAATCGAACTAAATACACTGCGTTATAGGCCCATGGATAATCAGACTAAAACACACTGGGTTATAGACCCATGGATAATCGGAACTAAATACACTGCTATAGGGCCCATGGATAATCAGACTAAACACACCGTTATAGGCCCATGGATAATCAGACTACAGCCATAGGCCAGTCCCATGGATAGTCGGACTAAATACATCGTTATATACCCATGGGATAATCGAACTAAATACAATCTCGTTATAGGCCCATGGATAATCAGGACTAAACAGAGTACCGTTATAGACCCATGGATAATCGAACTAAATACACCGTTGGTAGGCCCATGGATAATCAGATTCAAATACAGCTTATAGGTCCATGGATAGCGTCGGACTAAATACACCGTTATAGATCCATGGATAATCGAACCAAATACACCGTTATAGGCCCATGGATAATCAGACTAAATACAGCTTATAGGCCCATGGATATCGGACTAAATACATCGTTATTATATACCCATAGACAAGCAGATTCAGCCAGATTTCCAATGTTCTTTGAGTCATCTCCACTTGGCAGCACTGTAGTGATGAATACCCACATGTTACCCAATTCGTAACTTACACATACTCGGCAACGGAATATACATTCCTGTTTTTATCTTTGTTTCCAGATGATAGGGTGAACATCATCAACATCTACAATAATATCAACTCCAACAACATCAACGTCAACAACATCAACATCAGCAACATCTACAATAACATCAACATCAGCAACATCAACAACATTGCTCAGTGAAATATAGAAGCATATATGGTAAAGTCGGCTGTCTTTAATTTGAATATAAGGAGGCTACGGAAGTGGTTATCGTTTGTTCTTCTTCTTATTGGTTTAGCTGGTGTTTCACCACTGCGTGCTTTACATCTTTAGTTAATCGGACATCTGGAGTGTGAGATATTTCTCTTCTGTACGCTTTTAATTCTTTTGTCAATCACATTTTCGTGACTTATAAATACACGTTCCGAAAAGCCACGGCTTGCCGAGGGCCATTTTGTGAAAACCGTTGTGGCTCAGCGGCCAGGATCGCTCATTTTGTGGCTTCTTTGCTAGACCCGCGCAGGACCGGGTTAGAATTGATCTTCAGTAACTCCATGCTTGTCGGGGACTAACGGGATCCCAATTGCGTAGATCGATGCTCATGCTGTTGATCACTGGATTGTCTGGTCCATACTGATTATTTACAGACCGCCGCCATATAGCTGGAATATTAAGCGGACTGCGCCGTGTAAAACTAAACTCACTCACGCACTCTACTCACTCTCTTTGCCACCACACTTCAACCACGTGCCATACAGTAGGGATTTTGTAAGGAGAGAACTGCAGCCGCGCGTGGATTCGGCGGAAACATTGCAATAACTGGCCGTTTGAGACATTCGTGATCCATCCGTGTTATTCCGGGACAAGTTGAAGAACGACTGGAAAGATTTCATTTTGGCGTATGAGTAAAATGAGCATGGTTTTACGTCGCTTTTAGCAATATTCCAGCAATAGTAAGCGGGGACACCAGAAATGGCCTTCACATATCAGACCACATGTCACGATTCGAACCCGGCCTTCGGTGGCATGACGAGCGGACGCTTTAAACCACCAGGTTAATTCCCCACTCCTAGTGCGGGACGACAACTCTATTTCTGTTAAATGGACATAGTAATATTATCACTTACACTCGAAATGTGCTGGGCTTTTGAAAGGTCAACCTTATTTTAACTCATATTAATGATAATTTGTTTAAGAACATGTTCTGCTGCACTACTTCACCATTTCTAACAGTAAAAAACATTAGTTGCTTTGCTTGTTGTTACATTTGTTTTAAACTAAGGATGATGATGATGAGAATGATAAGTTGAAAAATGTATTTTATTAAATTTTATTTTACAATTGTATTAAACATTAAATTTTAGCAACACGATACCTATTAGCCATGTTGTCTGCGTAATGTTCAAATAACGATGCAAGTTTTTCACATAACGCTAGCTAATATCAATTTACATACTCGGGATTATTTTTATCAAAGTACCTCAATACTTACACGCATTCTGATTAGTTTGTCGTATACTAACATAAAAGAAACTTCACATTAGTAACTTTACGTGTATATCCCAAACACCCATACAGAACAAATTGTGTTGCTTGGATAGTAGTTGATAAATCAGATGGATAGTAGTGGATAAAACAGGATCAGGATTAGGTGCATTGCGGTGCCCGTCGTACACCCTGCACAGTCAACAGTAGCACAATGGGTCACATTTTTATTTCACGGGGACAGGCCATCTCAATTGGAGCTTGTTCAGTATCGTGTATGCCCTCTCTCGCACTCACAACAGCAAGGAAACGTTGTCTCATTGATTGCTTAACACCCGCGAACACAGCAGAAGAAACCTGCGACATTGCTGGCAATTGACATTCTGGTGTTTACGCCTCAAGTTGAATACTTCTTCCAAGAGCCCCTCATAAGTGTTCTATGGGATTAAGGTCAAGCGCAGAGGTGACCACCACCCCCTTTGTCCTGAAAGTTCATCAAATGACCATTGAAATAAAATAAAGTGTGCACCCCACTCCCCCACCCCCTTTCTCAAGAGTGTACACACATCCCCCATCCCCCATACACCCCTTTTCTCAAAGAGCTGTATCCGCCCCCTGAGGTGCCGTATTCGTTTCATGCAAACGTGTCCTCGGGTTGTGAATTGTCTGTCTACTGCATCTCATAAGGTGCTACACCCACAGTAGACTGACTACCTTCGAGTATGCCAATTGCACGTTCACGTTCAACATTTGTAAGGTGGTGACGAACGCCCAAGAAGACTCGATTATCGTCGATATTTTAAGATTGCAAACATAGCTAGGAGAAGTGTGCTGCCTAACTTAAAGGTTTAATAGGATAGGACCACGAACGATAGCATACTGCGTTTGTATATATAACGGCTCTCATGTTTCCTGTAGAGTGTTTTCCCTGACGATCTTACAGGCTTGCTTTTCAGATGCGCGCGTTCCACATTTTCAGGTATTGTGATTATAAATACCTTCACATTTAAAATAAGATAGTGAGTTTAGTTTTACGCCGCATTCAGCAATATTCCCGCTATATGGCAGCGGTCTGTAAATAATCGAGTCTAGACCAGACAATCCAGTGATCAACAGCATGCGCATAGGTCTACAATAATTGAGAGATACTATGACGTGTCAACCAAGTCAGCGAGCCCTCTAACCACTCGATCCCGGTAATCGCCTCCTTGTGACAAGCATGGCTGGTGAAGATCAATTCTAACCCTGATCTTCCCGGGTTGAGAAGAAAAGGAATAGAGCAACAATGTTTTATCGTTTTCTTAATTAAGACAGTTTGATAAAATGGTTTTTATTTGACTGAACTTGTTCCCTTATAAAGAATTCATGTCAGCCCCGACAATATCCATCAAAGCGCCTGTAAAAGACTCATTGTTACAAGTTCACGTGTTCAATGGATGCCTCATATGTTCACAACATAATATTCCACATTCACGAGACAAACAATATGGCTTTTCATCTGTTATTGCAATAACATCTCTAAGGTTGAGATATTTACGATAATGATGAAATCTTTATCCATGGATCGATACACACAAACAAACGAGACATGTGTCAACCAAGTCGGCAAGTCAGACCACCTAATCCTGTTCCATCGCCTCTAACGACGAGCATTGGATATTGAATATCAATTCTGACCCAGATCTTCACGGGTAGAATGCAATATGACTAATCATTGTTAATCACAGCGTCTTTAAATCCACTGGGCATATTTCAGTGAAATGGGGTGTCAGCAGTTTTGTGCTATAAAATATTTATAATGATCGGAGGGGGGAGTCACTTACTTCGTACATAAAGTTGGGGGTGGGGTGGGGGTGGGTTCATTCACATTGCATATGCTTCTCCATATAACTCATCATCATCCCCTTACTATCTTAATTCAACAGAAATTGAGTTCTTGTTTGCGTAGTTCTGATAATCATACGCCAATATGAAACCCTTCCGAAGGGACGCGAGTCACTTTTTCGGATTGGCCCGGGTGGCCTCCGGGACAAGCCAAGATAGACATTGTATCTGGAACGAACGGGAACCAGTCTAGCGAAGGATACCAGCGACAATTCAGCGGAGGATCCGGATAATCCAGTCTTAGCCTCGCGCTGTAGAGGAGTTCTTCTTCCTATATGGAAAAACGCCAGGAAACACATCGTTGTAATGAGCTTGTTGAGCGCATCGCTATATTTAGGAACAGGTTTTTCCGTTCCAGCTGCAGCTTCTTGTCTCAACTGTGGAGTCGTCCGCGCATTCTGCAAAACAAACAAATCAGTAAGTAGGTTTTCGGACGGATTTATGCTTATTGGTAATTTTCTACACTATCACTATTAAATGTCGGGTGGATATCGATCTAGACTGGTCCCTTGTAATCAAACGTTTTCCTTGGTTACCGATGCATGTCCGTTGTCATTACGCTTTCAGGCGCCAGTCTCGCATATCTCAATATACAAGTTGGTGTTGGCGCGCGAAAAGGGGAGCCGGGAACCAGCTTAATGTGTCATTACCTAGTATAGTCTCCCCACAGAACAACCTTAATTCGTAGCACCCCAGTGTCTTGATTTGCAGTTGCTTTTACTTCCGGCTAACACCCACTGGTGGAAATATTTCTTTTAACTCTTTTCGACAGTGAAAAATGTCAAGCTCGACTCATTCATGACCCATTCAGCCATACTCGAAGTTTCATTCCGGGGCAAAGCCGGATGGCGTCTGTCTTGTAGGTCACGGAAAGAGGCGAGTAGTTACGAATGATTCCTGACCACCTCGTGCCTGAACATGCCGAACATTCGATACAACTCGCCCTTTCCGTAACCTCCAAGTAGGATCTCGCCCCTCTCGACGAGAGTGTGTGTATATATATAAAGCGGGAATACGACAAACCAGTCAGAACGCGCGTAATGATTGAAGGTGCTGCGGATAAAAATAATCCTGAGTACTCTAAATCGTGTATGGCATTATGGCATTGTTAAAAAATCATGAGAAATATGTATCATCATATTGAAAAAAGTACAAAACAACTCCTGTTGACAAAATTGAGTTGTCTGATAGGAAGTTTTTCATATAGGTGGGGGCCATGAACGGTGAGATCCAAATACACGTATATGCGCGTTTGTTTCATATAACAAATCCTACCAATGGAGTCTATTTCGACGAACTTGTGGGCTTGTTTTGCAGGGATTGTACGCGCTAGCCTCGATATTTTCAGGAAACAGCAAAACATAAATCGCTACAGGTGCCTTTGAAACAGTAATATTGCAATCTATATATAACTTTATCAACTCATTCTCTAACATTGGGCCTTTAAGTATCTGCCCTAGGATAATTTAGTCTGACTTTTGGGGTCATTCAAACTTGTTTCAAATGTATTCAGTTTAAAATCTCCTACTACGGATAATGGCAGAAGGCTTACATCGAATGTTTAGTTTGAGTAATTGTGGCTTCTCTGCCCAGTGACAGCTGAAGCTGGCTATAATAGGCTTGAAATTTCCGCCCTGTGTACTTTTTTATGTGGTGATGGTAAAGTAGCCAACTTCAGCCAGGGCTCTATGAATCAGGCCTCATTACAAGGTAAAACATAAATAAATAGAAAAGTATAAACCCAATAATGTATTTACA